ATCAGGGCTCGATACTTCAAACAGTCCGGGGTGTTAGATGCTTACAGGGGTTATGACCCGAGCTATTTGTGGAGAAGCTTGTGGGGGGAAAAAGGTGTTCTCCATGATGACCTAGGGTGGAAGATTGGCAATGGTAGAGGGGTAAGGGTTTGGCAGGACCCCTAGTTGTTCCGGGAAGGGGCTAGGGTGGTTCCACAAAGGGGAAGTCAATTTGTGAATGAAGAGCTAACTGTGGCAAAACTAATGAGTGATGCTCTTGGACAATGGAATGAGCAGCTTGTGAGAGATGCTTTAGGTGTTGATGCGGACTTAGCTCTTGCGCAACCTTTGCCTTTCACGAATGAGGAGGACCAAGCTTACTGGAGGCTTACAAAAAATGGTCAGTTCACTTTTAGATCTTGTTATTGGATGTTAAGGATGGGTGGTCTTTCTAACAACAATACGAAGACATCTGGAAATCGGTGTGGCATTTGAATGCTCCCCCAAAGCTCAAGCATTTTATTTGGAATGCTTCGAAGGGTAATATGGCTGTAAAATTGAGGCTGTACCAACGACACATTGTCACTAATAGTAGCTGTAATATATGCGGTTCATCTGAGGAGTCTATTATGCACACTCTGTTTTTCTGTACAGCTGCAGTAGCGATTTGGAGGAGGAGCAATTTTGAAGGCCTAATTGTTGAGGCCCCTATGTCTTCCTTTGTAGATTGTTGCCAATGGATAAAGAATAAGGTATCTAAGGAAACCTTAACTATGATGGCAACCTTGATGTGGGCGGCATGGCGATGTGGAAACATCAAGGTGTTTGAGAATGCAGATCCTGATGCAGTACAGATAGCGGTGGGTTGCTGCAATTATGTGGCTAACTATACGGGATTTTCTGGGAGAGTCTATGAAAAGGAAGCAATCCCCCTACAACGTTCTGCTACCAAATAGAAGTGCCCTGATATGGGGTGCGTGAAAATTAATGTGGATGCACACCTATGTGAACAGAATCTGGCAGCCATGGGGGTGGTAGGCAGAGACCATAATGGCCAACTGATTTTCACGGCTACGAGACGAGTTCCACTATCCTTCCCTGAATGTGTAGAGGCCCAAGCTGTAAGGTATGCTCTCCTGCTTGCTCAAAGGTTTGGCTATAGGAAAATTTGGGTGGAATCTAATGTGCAAAACGTGATAACATCGATTACGTCCTCAATTAGGGGTAGAGCGCCTATTTTCTCTATTTACAGGAATATCACTGTACTCAAAGCCTCTTTTGATCAATGTCTCTTCTCTCGTGTGAAAAGGGTGGGTAACACTGTGGCCCATTTAGTGGCTAGAAGTGATGTGGGTAGTGCACCGGAAGTAGTTCGTTTTGCCCCTTTCTCGCAAAGTTTTGTAACTCTTGCGACATTGGATTTATCCTCTTAATATATGATTATAAGCTTCATTCAAAAAAAAAAAAAAAGGTTACATGTGTAAAATTTCAATGACCTCAAAACACACACATTTGCCAGATATTTTGTCTAAAATTCATATTAACCAACCTGATGATATTGGTTTTGACTTTGAAACTCAAAAACATTGAAAATAATCGATATTACCCAACCTAAACAACACATTCTAGATCATGCTCTAATATTATTACTTTATTAGTAGTAATATTTAACAGAAAATTAGCCAAAACTATCCAACTTAAAAATGAGCATTTTAACGGGTCTAATATTGAAAGCATATAGTTAGACTTTAAAAGTCAATTTTGTACTCCCTCTATTGCACAATATAGTTCTCATGCTACACTTCCTCTTGTTGCATACTATAGTTCTCATGCTACAAAAAATACTTATATATCGACAACTCCTTACTAATAGGCGGCAACCGCCAAAATCAACCATAAATTATAGACGATTTAGAGCCATCAGCCCGTCGCAAATTAATAACCGCCTTAAACACGACTTGGTCATCGGTAATTTTTTTTTTTTTAAAATAAAATTATTAGTCTTACCGACGACTTTAAGATTGATGTATAAACTTAACTAATTTTCTATTATTAAAGCAATCATGTGATACACCTTCTTTTCCCCTTTGTAATTGCAAATCTAATTTAGTATCAATTTCCGATTTAGCTTATAATCATAGACTTCGTTAGGGTAGTAAAGAGTGCGGTTTAGACTGTACCAAATCGCAATTTTGCGATTTGGTGCGATTTGCGGTTTGAAAATTGTGGTGCGGTTTTGAAAATGACCAAATCGCGGTTTGCGGTGGTGTGGTTTTCAAAAATATTTAGACCAAACCGCACTTTAATGCAGTTTGCAGTATTTATACTTTATTTTTATTAAAAAAATATAAAGAACTAAAATATACAAGTATAAGATAATCTTTGACTACTTGTTAATTAAAGGTTAAAAAAAGTTTAATATTTGAATTATAAATTAATAATTACAAAGTAAAATAAAAGTTTTGTTTAAAAATAAATAATTATAATTTTAAAAAAATATTGTTAAACCGCAAACCGCACCATATCAAACCGCATTTTGCGGTGCGGTTTGACAAAATTACAAACCGCAATTTTGCGGTTTGGTGCAGTTCAGGATCCAAACCGCACCGCGAATACTCCTAGACTCCATAACAAAAAATTATTCTCATAACCGTAGGCTTCCTATCTCATTGTTGATACTTAGGCCTTGTTTGGTAATTAGTTGGTAGCTAATTGATATAGTTGGTTATAGTAATTGGCTTTACTAATCGGTTTGATTAATTAGTTGTCAATAGCTGGTTGTGTAAAAACGTTGGTAAATAACTGTAATTATTAGTTATTTTAGTGCATATAATAACTAAAAAGCTAAATATTTAATAAGCTAGTTTTAAAAAGGGAAAAATACACTTTATAATCCCAATTACTGGCAATTTACTTTTAATAATCCCAACTAAGGTTTATTATCTAATAATCCCAACTATGGGGTTAGTTTGCCTGTAGTATTCCCAACCGGTCAACAAGCTCTTATTACAGGTTACCAAAATACGTGTCAACACGTGATTTGTCAAAAAAAAAAAAAAAAATTATAAAAAAATATAAAAATCAAACACCCTTCCCCACGCCAGCCACCCTACTGCCACCCACGCCAACCTAACCTCTCCTGCTCCCCAGTGCCAGCCGGAGCCCAGATCCCTCTTCCCCTGGTCGTCGGTGCCAGCCATACCCCCTTCCCTAACCACCGTGCATGTAACCCCTCTCTCCTCTTGAAAAACCCCTTATAACTTCTCTCCGATGTCGAAAACACCCAGCCACTCACTCTCCCAGCCCCCAACACAGATTTCCGACAACTCCTTCCTTACCCCAACCTCGGAAAACCTACCCACACCACTGATTTTTGACGTGGTATAGTGAATGGGAGTGACAGTTTCAGCAGTGGGATTGGGGTTGGGGGGCTGATTTCCGACGTGGGGGTAAGGGAAGGAGGCCGAAAATCAGTGGAGAAGAAGTTATGGTATCTTAGGGGTAGTAGGGAGGCCGGCCAGGCCGGCCAGCCGTTTTTGGGGGTTAAAGGGGGGGGGGGGGTCGGCCTGTTTCCAGCGGGTTTAGAGGTGGGCTTGGGTTCACGCTGGGGTTAGGGTGGCTGGGATTGGTTTTTTTAATTTTTTTTTATCTTTTAAATTTGGAGCAACCAATTACCGACACTGCACGTGACTTTTTAAAAAAAAAAAAAAAATTATCCTCAGGTTACCGATTATTGGGACTAGTGGAGGCAAACTGACTCATAGTTGGGTTTATTAGATAATAACATTAGTTGAGATTATTAGAAGTAAATCGCCAATAGTTGGGATTATTAAAGTATAATTTTCCTTTAAAAAGTGCAGCTCGTATTTTGAGTTTTTTAAGCTCAAAAAGTTCTTTCAATAAGTTATTTACTAAACAGTCAAATTAGCTTTTTCTTTTAATCAAACATGGTCTAAAATATTTTAAAAGGTCAAACATGATCTCTATAAACTTCACACTAATTTTGAATCTCAAATGTAAGTCCCTACTTTGGATATCCTCATACTTTTCCAAAAAGCCATCACATATACGGAGTACATAATATTTCTTAAGTATTCACTAATTTTTTTCTCCTATTTACATTCAAATGTTTTTTTTTTTTTGACAATATTTTTTTTATTTGATAAAGTATTTTGTTTTACATACTATTACGTCAATTACTTACAAATAACTTATATACCTTTTAAACAAAAAATGAATCAATTTAACACAATCTTCTTTTTTTATTTTTAATAAAATCAACTCTATAACAAATTAGCAAGCAATTACACTATCTTTTTTTTTCAAATGTTTTTTTTTTTTAATTTACAATGTTGTTTTTTAATTTTCATCACCCTAGAGTGAAAAGCTAAACGACGCCCTTATTTAACCAGGTAACGCCCGTATTTAACTATAAATGGACAAACATACCCTCGCGTGTATTCCATGCTTTTTTTCCTAGCTTCTAACGCAATTTAACATTCTCTCCTGATCCCAACAAATTAAACCACCATCGATCGAGAGCAAGGTCATCGGACACATCACGGAGCTAAGTCGTTTTTTTTAGTGGAGGTCAAACGCCTAATTTTTTCAAAACTCTAGGGGAGAAACGCCTAGAATTTTCAAAAGTCCCTAGGAGATTCGAAAATTCTAGGCGTTTCTCCCCCCCTAGAATTTTCCAGCTTTTTTGCGTTTTTTGTTTTTAACATAACTTTTGATCCCAAACTCGAATTAAGACAAATAATATATCGTTGTAAAGCTCTGGAAGTCTAATTTTCAACCAAATTAGAATCAAGTCAATATCATTTCTAAATCTTAAGATATGGTCGAAATAGTACAAGGGTGTTGGTTTTGGACCAAACTTAGTATTTTAAGCATATCTTAAGATATAGAATTTATATTGATCTGATTTTAATTGGGTTGAAAAGAAGACTTTTAGAGCTTTCCAACAATATATTATTTGTGTTAATCCGAGTTCAGGATCAAAAGTTATGATAAAAACAAAAAGTGCAAAAAAATTGAAAAATCTAGGGAGAGAAACGCCTAGAATTTTCGAATCGCCTAGGGACGTTTCAAAATTCTAGGCGTTTCTCCCCTAGAGTTTTGAAAAAAATAGGCGTTTGGCCTCCACCCAAAAAAAAAACGGTTTTAAGTCCGGTGATATGTTCGATGACCTTGCCCTGGATTTGTTGAGAAGAGAATGTTAGATTAAGTTAGAGATCAGGGAAGAAAAACATGGAATCATAAAAATTAATATTTAAATGCTGGTGTTACCTGATAAAATAAAAGCGTTGTTTAACGATTTTTTTTTACTGTGTTGTCTTTTACTTTTTTTTCAACATAACTGCCTGAAAAAAATTAAAACAAAAAAATTTGAACCTAAAATTGATAAGAGCGACTTCAAATTCCATTTAATTCCGCGCCTAATCCATCATCTATAAACAGGGACCTCCCGGAGCACCGAAGAGCGAAACCACTCATCAGTCATCACAATTACAATTTCTCTATTTCTCTCTCTAAAAACCTCAATCTCTCTCTCTAAAATCGCACTTCCTTCAAAATCCGTCGGAGTTTTATCTCTATAATGCCAGAAATGTACGCACTCAAGTAAGTTTTCTTCTAGAATTTGCAACTGGAAATTCGCTTCATAATGATCTGAAGATCTTTTTATGTTTATGAATTTTTGTATTTTTGAATTTCGATGCAGATCTGAAGAACAGAGCCAGCAGTTGCAGCTTGTTCAACGAGAAGAACTCGAAGATGAAGAGGACTTGTTCGAAGCTATTGATAAATGTAATGCTCTCTCTCTCTAAATTTATAGTTAGTTACTTGTATTTGGCATTAATTTTGAATTTCAAAAGAAATTGCTCAAGAATTCCACTTGCATAAGTTTGGAAAGCTGAATTGATACTCTGTTTTTCTAGCTGTTATTGTTAGATTTGATTGAAACCTAGCTTAATTGCTTAATTCATATAGATTTTTCTCTGATTTTAATGAAATTTTATGTTTCTACTTTCGATTGCTTAAATAATCTTTGGTATGAAATGCTTTATATTTTCTTCCTATTTCGCCTAATTTTTAAATTCTCATGCTGAACGGTTATATATCATAGCGCATACTCCGTATTGAACTTCCTTTGATTTTTCTCTTGAAATGCATAAAATTCAAATTTCCTAGAACTCAAATTATGCGCTTCAATAGTTGATTTGTCGTAAAGCTGAAATGTTTTTCGCGCTAAACGCTAAAAACTCGTATGATTACAGTCGCATAGATTTTGAAATCAGAATCGACAATCCAGACTTAATTAGTTTGCTTGATACTTCCTCAAATTTTTCCTTCAATTTTTTAGTAAATTCCAGAGTTCTACTCTTTAATCGCTTAATCTTAGTTAAGCTGGAATGATAACTATTGCGCCGATATGCTTAGTTCGTCAGATTTTTTTTGGCGAGTTCGTCTAATTTAAAAAATAATCGCGATGAATGCTTAATTTGTCCAAAATATTCGCAATTTTTGGCGCATAACACTTAACATTCAGAAATCATCTTTCACTAGTGATTGCACATGGAATCAATGTTGGAGATGTTAAGAAGCTTCAAGATGCTGGAATATACACTTGTAATGGCTTGATGATGCAGACGAAGAAGGTTTTCCATCAATATATTTATTTATTTATTTATTTCCTCCTTTCAATCTGAATTCAGAATTATACTATTTCCTTTGAAATTTCTTAATATATCTTTCCTTATTTATTTTTTTTTATTTTTTTTTTATTTTTTTTTGTGTGTGGGAAGAATTTGACTGGTATTAAAGGATTGTCTGAGGCTAAAGTTGATAAGATATGCGAAGCTGCTGAGAAGATTGTGGTAAGCTATCTGCAATCTGATACCTCAATTATTCGGTCTATCGGATTGGTTTTGAAGCTAATCAATTAATAATGTTATGTTTTAATCTATCCAGAATTATGGTTACATTACAGGAAGTGATGCTTTGCTCAAAGTAAGATCCTGTTCTCTATTAATATTTAAGAATCATAAATCAAACTGTGTAGTTTTAGCTGTTTTACTACTTCTAATTCTATCTTAATTGTTATTTACAATAGAGAAAGTCTGTGATTCGCATAACCACCGGAAGCCAGTCATTAGACGAGTTATTAGGAGGTAACTATGTGCTCTTTTGATCAGTATAAGTCATTTTATTCTTATTCAAATTACTAGCACATTGGCATATATTAGAGTTCATTTGTATGTTCACACTCTTATTATGCTTCATTGGAAAAGGTGGAATCGAAACATCAGCAATTACGGAAACATTTGGAGAATTCCGGTGAGGACCCCTAACAGTATCTTGATTCTCCTTGTTGGCTGTATTACACTATTACTTGTTCTTATAGATTTAAGTTTATAATTTAAGAAATTTATGCTCTTAATTCCCCATCTTACTGTTGTGGCAACATTTCCGAGGGTTGTATGTATGTTGAATCATTTTTTGCTCGGAAAATGACTAGCTGACTAATTTTCAAAATTTTTTACTTCTCTTCTTGGTTTTAATGGCTTACCGACTACATTTTTTAGGCTTTGTGATTGATTATAAACTTAGCATAAGCAAATTTAATTATGTTGACTGGTTTACCTATCTACTTTTTCTGACCTCATGGCTTGATAATGATTTATGATTCTGCTCAGCTCTGGAAAAACTCAGCTAGCACATACTCTATGCGTCTCAACTCAGGTAACTTTTATTGTATGCCAGATTCATGATAAAAAATAGCTAATTTTGGTAGGCAGTAATTTTATCAGCATACTAACAAGAAATAATCACTAGTTTAGACCATATTTTGGTTAGGATTGCAATATGATAGATGGAAGTAGAAAAGTGCTTACAACCTCTGACCTGTATGGTTGTTAATAGTCAGGTTTTACTGTTTCAGTTATTATGCTACTTTAGTCGAACATATCAACCGTAGAATCAGATTTTCAGGAAACTGAAGGGCGTTTACTGACAAATTAGGAGGATAGTGTACTTGTATTACTGAGTTTGTAAGTTGGCGACACATTACCTTAGTTGCTTTTTTAAGAGTAAGAAATGGTTTTACATGTTCTATTAATGAAGGATATATTGTCCATGCCTGTGTTTGATGTAAACATGTGTTTTGATTTCCTTGAGAGTAGAAGTCTCAAATTTAACGGGTCAATTTTACTTGTTTGCAATGCTTACATGTAGCTTCCGACTAGCATGAGAGGAGGAAACGGGAAGGTTGCCTACATTGACACTGAAGGAACTTTGTATCCTCTCGTCATTTTATTTAATTTTGGAGTACTGAAACAGATTGAAAATTCTGCAAATGAAGTACATTTATAAATAGTTTTCTCTTCACTATCTACACTACAGTCGACCTGATCGTATTGTGCCAATTGCTGAAAGGTTTGGGATGGATGCTGCTGCTGTCCTAGACAATGTAAAATACAACCAGACCACTTAATTTTGTGTCTGAATTTTATAACACACGATGATTTATTTTTATCTTCCAATCTTATAGATCATATATGCACGTGCATATACGTATGAACATCAGTACAACCTCCTCCTTGGCTTGGCTGCAAAAATGGCTGAGGAACCCTTCCGATTACTGGTGAGTACTCACAATTTCTCAAGAAAAATCCTGTCATAAAATTTTTGGCTAACATCATTTTTTCTTTGAATTTTTTTAGATTGTAGATTCTGTCATTGCTCTATTCCGAGTGGATTTCTCTGGAAGAGGAGAGCTTGCAGACCGACAGGTAATTTGTTGAAAGATTTGAAACAATATCCTCTATTGAGCACTCTCCAGGATACAACTTAAATAATGTATGAACTCTGGAAGGTCTCCTTGATGCAGTGATTTTCTCAATTGTTTTTTGCTTAGTTCTATATCATGACTGGAATTTAATTGCATTTTCAGCAAAAACTGGCCCAAATGCTGTCTCGTTTGATGAAGATTGCTGAAGAGTTCAACATTGCTGTATATCTTACTAATCAAGGTAGTAATCTATCTATCTTCTGGTAATTCTCTTCCGAAAAATCCGTAACCAATCTGACTTGGATAATCATGAGTAGAGATTTATTTAAATAATTATTAATCAAATCCTTTAACTCTAGCTAACTAGTCAAATGTTGCTGCAGTTATTGCTGACCCAGCAGGCGGAGTTTTTGTTACGGACCCAAAGAAGCCAGCAGGCGGTCATGTCTTAGCCCATGCATCAACAATAAGGTTGATGTTCAGGAAGGGAAAAGGTGAACAGCGTATCTGCAAGGTGTTTGATGCCCCAAATCTGCCAGAGGCCGAAGCTATATCCTATTTCTATTGACACTTGCGCTACTATTTAATGCAAATTGAAACATTCTGCATCACCACAAATGTTCATTCATCACAGTAATATACTATGTTAACACCTTGACACCAGCACGTATTTCAGATTACACCAGGTGGAATAGCGGATGCAAAGGACTGAAGCTAGCAGACAATCAAATCAATTTATCTGATACCAGAAAGAGCAAAGGAAAAGTTGCCTGGTTTTCTACTGCCATTATTTAGCATTAAGACATAGTTATCTACGGCTAGGAATGCATTATACTTGTACATATTACTAGGTGAAAACTTTGTACAACTTAAGCAGCCACACAGAGAGCAAACTATTCTTTCGCTTTTTACTAAAGAATACCTTGTGCTCGCTGCATTCACTGGCATATGTTTAATTGTAATTGCAGTCTGACATGTTGTCTGCTACTAACATAAGTATTTTGGTGTAGGATTAATTTCATAGAATAAACAAAATACTCAGTAAATGAGTAAGGATAATTTTGAGCTCTATCTTTCTTTCGGGGTAACGATTTGGTTGGCTGTGCTAGGAATATGCAGTAGTGCAACAAATGGGCAAACACCCAACCAAAGTTAGGTAAGTCATGAATAGCTAGAGTATATTAGTCCATGTCTTTCAGAGATGTATAAAATAGAAGAAAGAACAGACTACTAGAGGAAATGCAATAAACCAGCAGGGAGAGGCAGATAATTTAACACCAGCAGTGTAGAATATTTTATTTTGTTTTGGAAAGGTTTTGCTAAGGTATTTACTATTTAGATGCATAAAAATTAAATACTATACAAATATCAGATAGATCAATTGAGAATTCCGGTCAAATAGACATTTTGTACATTGTAGCAGAGTTTTACGAAGTATTATCTTGTTATGTAAGCAACCTGCAAGAGATATGATAAAACTCTTATTTAGACCATCAAAATAAAAGTGGTAATTAGTAACAAGGTGCATCTTTCTATATATCAATTGATTTCAGTACATAAGCTGTTGAAAGATCGACCTATTTTAAAGCAAAAAAAAAAAAAAAAAAAAAAAAAAAAAAAAAAAAACATCAAGTTGTGTGACAGATGCTGTATCAATTAAGTCCATTTCAAAATAATCCAACATAAAATATCTCAAAAATGTTGTAATGTCAATGTTACTACACAAGAAACAAGTCTAAACAGGGAAAAGATAGACCCCCTAACATATAAACAGCTTAAAACTTCCTAAACAAATGTGATCAAACCATATATGCTAAGAAATTTGATGTAATGATTTGGTGAGGAGTGCCAGGCCCGTGCAGTAGTGCAACGCATGGGCGACACTTGAGAATCCCAGCAGCAAGCTACTGTGGTGGATTCCCCCTTTCAAAAAATAAATTTAATATCATTGTGAGTCATTGACCCACGTATCAGATATTAAACTGATAAGAACAGATACTACACTTGATCTTAGCCAAAAGGCCGAGAAAGGTATGATTTGTTGAGTCTCAAATCCTGCGTTTTATATCCTGAAGTTGCTGTATCCTCTTCGTTTGTTTCGATGTGGAACATCTCTTTTTTAATGTGGGGGGGGGGGGGGGGGGGAGAGATGTCCACAGCAGCACCCTTCAGGATCTCAGAACTCGGTAACACCATTGTGATGTCTAAAGTACATAAATTAATGTATTACTGAGTAACAATAAAATATAGAGTAGAAGTTATATAATCTAGTGGTTTATCACACATAATTAGTGTCTAGAATAAAGGCTATGTACACCTACAAACTTTCAACCATCACCAATTAGGCAATTACGAGTACTTCTCTATAGTCAATTTATTAGCTATGACTTACAGATTTGGATTTAGAAAAAATAGGCTGACATGTATTTTGAACTATTAGTAGCTCTGGTTGCGGTCAATAACAGATATGCAAGGGTATTGCTGATGTAATCTTTGCTTCAGACATTCAAGGGTATTGCTGACTTTGCTGATGTAATGTTTGCTTATTTTTTGAAGAATTTTACAAACCAAGCTAATATTTTTTCAATTAGAACATATGGTTAACTATATGCAATTAGACAGAAACTCACAAATTTTCCCACTGTATTACAGATGCATGAGACTTCAATAAGCAAATCAATTACTTTGAAAATTATTCAGAGCAATGCGTTATGACTTACTACTCCAGACATCCAGTGAAGTCGACACCAGGAACTCTGGTAATGATATGATATGATCATATGTCATTATCATTCAGAATAATATGCTTTCATCAATCTTTAGTAACAGAGCATTGTCAGGGCCAAAAAAGTTAAAATAATTTAGATCATTTCTCAAATTGTGCGTGTCAGGGCCATGCTAATCTTCTCAACATCAATCGAATTCTATCCGCCACATTATTTAAAGAAAGCAGTGTTTTAAAATCTTCGATGTGGGACAAAAAGAGAGTATACATCTAACAGAGCCCACACATACTTTACCATAATGCCCAAAGAATTCCAGCTTATGAAGGTACCAAATTGAAGCCAAATCTCATCAGATCTTACCCAATCTTTCGAAACACTAACATCAATTTCATGAATTACTTTGACAATTCTATGATATGAACAAATTAGCAATGCTTTTTACTACTAACCCTTCCAGCTTAGGCCTCCATCCCATGCATATAGTTAGCGTACTTGTTTCTGTTGATTGTTCCTTTAGATTTTCATTTACATTTCCTCCCTTAAAAGTTCAAACCCCATACTTTCTCGTTTCTTTCTTTGATCCACATTTTTTTCCCTTCTCTCCAAACTCCTAAAAATTTCTCTGTTTTACTCCTCTTGACACGAATGTCTATGTCACTGAACTGAATAAGTCGATTATTTTTCACCTCTACTTAATTATATTACGGAGTATCTCATAAAATTCTGATCACTCATCCATAATTAACATAAACAAATATGCATAAGATAAATTAAGACAAATAATGAAACAAAACAAAACAAAAACCAGCTAAAAAAGCCTAATGTTTACCTCAAACCAAATTAATTGCCCTTGGTAGTTGAAAAACGGAAAATTTTATCATTCAACAGTTTTGCACTAGCTATGCTTGTGATTACTGATAATCTGCCTTATTCTACTGTTTGAATTTGTAAAAATATTGTACGTATATGTAGGTCAGGGTTTGTTGAAAGATTAAAGATTATGTAAAACTTTAAAAGAAAAAAAAAAAAAAAAAAGAGAGAGTATGTAAAGAAAAAACAAAAATAACAGCGGGTTTTATATTCAGTGTGAAGTTTGCGATGTGAGAGAAGAGAAATATATCATGATTATTGGTTTTCAAATCATCAACATGTAATGGCAAAATAATACTCACATTCTATTATACTTATAAAATAAAGTAGCATATATTTTGGTGAAAATAAATAAACTAGTGATCATAAAACCGGCAAAAAATACAGTAAATTAACATTTACATCCAATTTGGCATAAATAAGAATAATAGTAATAATAATATCTAAACACAACTTTAAAGTTTAAACAAATAATATCATAGGCAACAGTGATAAACATAATCATGTGGGATCTTGTTTGAATCGTCTTAATGTATATTTTATTAATATCCACTTTTCATAATTTTACAATGTTGATAATGGGAAATATAACTCGTGAAAATTGTGCGTTGGGGCGTTGGCAAACGTGATAAAAAAAACATGTCATTTAATTAGGAAAGGAGGAAGTATATAATAAGTGACAATCAACTATATTAAAATAAATTAAAATAAATAAAATTTGACATGAATAATTTGCATTGCAAGTACTTTGATGTGAGAATCACACGTTGTTGAATTGCAGTTAGAACAAATACAGAGTATATATCTTAGGTCTAATTTGCGTAAGAACGGCCATGAAGTAAACAAAGATAGGATGACAACAAATCACTCTATGACATCAACAACAAAGATAATATGCGTACAATACAATTATAAGTAAATGAAACTAATATAACAAAACTACAAAATTAAACTTACATGATAGTCTTTGTTGAGTTTAATTCCCCTTGTTATTTTTCCTGGTGATTGCAATTTCTTTGCACTTATCTTTAATTCGATGATAATAAATGATGGTGCCGATAACGTATTACGAAAACAGAGAGAAGGAATGAAAAATAGAGGGAAGGGAGAGGGAAGGTAAAATATCAAAATATATATATATATATATATATATATATATATATATATATATATATATATATATATATATATATATATATATATATATATATATATGACCAGGTTATAATGAGAATCAATCCTATAATAGGAATTAGGAATTAATCAGAACCGTGCTAGATCGACCGCTGGGATCTATTCAGATGCGAATTCTCTCTCCTCCGTTCTTTTCTCTTTCATTCTCACAGACGCCATTTTCGTTCTCCTCCACCATTTTCGTTCTCCCTTACCTCAATTAACAACTCGATTTTATGGAATTTGCTACAATTTACATATTGTTTCGATAATTTGCTGGATTCGTTGCAAAATTTCTCAATAATTGAGGTAAGAATTGTGAATTTTTCCAACAATAATCATGTCATATTATATATCCTATCTTGGATTTTCTTTGTATTCCAGAAAATTTGTCCCTATATTTGTTATAATTTGTCAATATTTTACTGAAATTCACTTGAGATGCAAATTGAGTTCAAAATAGGTGTAATTATAAAAATTTGATGTTGTTTAATTGTTTACTGCAAAAATTACGATATATGATTGTGAATTATGTGTTGTTTAATTTAATTTGTCGATTTTTTTTGCTCAAATATATGTGAAATTCGGAGAGTTTGCAAACGAATATGATTGAGTTTGAGTTAATTCTTGTATGAATTTCTTATGATTGAGTATGTGTTATTTTTGGAACTATTTTGGGTGATTTTTTTTTTCCTTTTACATTCAGCAAAGTTTGATACTACGTATTTTTCTAGTTTTTCATTGCACATCTGTTTGAACTTTGAATGCATCAATGAGTAAATTTAAAATGACATTGAAAAGTAAACTACATTCCTCGAAAAGTAAGCTAGATATGTTTAAATGTAACACTCTGCGGAAGTAACTGAAGAAATGGAGAGGTGCAGAGAGTCTGCCCTTGAGAGGAGGAAGGCCATTGAGTAAGAAAAGGAATGTTTTCAAAAAGCTGTTTTGTTGTTCAGGACATGCTGAATACCAGAGAGGGCAAACAAGATGATTAGTAACATCTCTTTCATAGACCTTTATCAGTTTATCATGTCTAACTATGATCATTGTTATTTCATAGACCTTTGTACTCATTAGTCACTTCCTGCTTCTTCTGCTGTGCAGGACTTGGTTTGTTTCTTCCGGCTATTTGTATGATTTATGCAGGTAGTTGGAATTATGTAATGGGGAAGGGGGGGGGGGGGGGGTAGAATCTTGTGTTGGGCTGGGTGAGAACTACACAGACGGGAAATTTTTGTACATCATTCTGATTGCATTTCTTTATTTATTAGGTGTAATGATCATGGAGAACCACTCCCTCCTGATTATCAAAAATATGTTATTGACAATGTGCTGAACTACCATCCTGATGAACGGCTAAAATTGGGGCTGAAGTTGATTTTATTATGGTATGCTATACATAGCTCTTGCTATTGAAATCCTTTTTTATTATTTTTATGAAGTCTAAATAACTTCTAAAATCTTTTCATGTTGCTATATGCAGGTTAAAAAGCATAGCAACTTCCAAGAAAGTCGTTGCTTTTATGTCGTTTTAATGGATGGGCATAATGTGGACTTCTCATACATCAAGTGCTTGGAGACTTGTGTTAAGGGAAAGTACCAATTAGTTGCTGAGTCCTTCATGTCCAAGTATTTTAGAAGGCCTTGTTCAGGAGGTAATCCCTCGCCTGCAAGCCCCCCACCACCAAGTCTAAAAGTAGATTGAAATTAGTTAAAGTAATTAAGATAATTCTAATAGTAGATTGAAATTAGTTAAAGTAAATAAGATATCTCCAAAAATAGATTGAAACGAGATCCACCTTCTCTGCTTCCAGTTTAGGTTCAGTTGTAAGAAATTTTGGTGCTCTTGGGTTAAATTCTCGCTCTTCTTTAATGTCCTCATCAGCTTGCTGCATCTCAAAAATCTCTTTAATTTGTTGCAGCTGTCCAAGAGCTCTAGTTGCTATCAAATCCTCTTTCGTGGGAAATGTGTTTTCTGGCCTCTTGTATATTGATTCTGATGACAAGTGCAATTGCTTCTTTTGTCCTATGGTATTCTTGTGATTCTGATTTTCCTACATTATCAACATTACTTATTTACATCTGATTAAAGCTCTACTTTATCAAAATACATATGTTTGCGCCCTTGATACCCAATAAAGCTTGTTGATAAGATAGTGTCTTTAATAATTTACAAAGACTACGTTACTGCTAACACTGATGTTGATAAGCCTGAAATTATGATAATGGTTGTACGAATAGTAAACTCAACTTGAATTGTGTTGCTCCTTGTACTCCTGACTCTTCATTTGATGAAAGATGTTTATGTTGATTCATCCTGATTCTAATGCTGGTAATTGAATCGAAAACTCAAATGAAAATCAAAAAATGCTAATTGAATTAAAAACGCAAGTCTTAATTAAGTAAGAAAACAACAAAGAAAAAAACAGGCAAATCCTAATTGAATACAACCAACAACGTAAACACTTATTTCAAAAAAAAAAAAAAGAAAAAAAAACCCGTAAACACTTGATAGAATCAAAAATTACAAAATCAAAACACTTACCTCTCCAACAACAATCGAAAAACTTGATACACCAAATCAAAGTTTTGAGACGTGAAATCGAAGTAGTAAAATCGCAGCAGAGAGAATTCAAGAGAAGAGAGGGAAAGCAGGAAGAAGAGAGAGAAAGTGAAAAACGCAGGAGGTAGTCATTCAAAATACCAAATTTACTAATTTGCCATTAATGAAGCGGGTGAAATCTCGGCCGTTAAATTAAGTGCGATCAACGGTCCTGATGAGTTCCTAGTTCTTATTATTCACCTTGGTTTTCACACGATCTCAATTCTATATATACACACACACACACACACAAAAGTAACTACCAAGTGATAATGAACTGACACCATTTTACAACAGATTGAGAATATAAAGATTGCTTTGATACACTTTGGGATATTGAAAAGCATAAATAATATAACACAATTTTTTGTATGCAGCCTACTGTACCGTGCGGCAGGGGTTACTTGAGTTACTTGGTCAGGGGTCACTCAAGTTGGCGGGGTTACTCGAGTTTTTCGATCAGGGGTTACTCGAGTTACTTGGTCAGGGGTTACTCGAGTTGTCGGGGTTACTCAAGCTATTCGGTCAGGGGTTACTTGAGTTACTCCTGACCGAGTAACCCCTCGAGTAATCCATGACCAAACCCCCCGATTAACTCGAGTAACCCCTGACCGAGTAACTCGAGTAACCCTTGACCGAGTGAACCCCTCGAATAACCCCTGTCCGAAACCCATCAAGTAACCCCAGACCGAGTAACTCGAATAACCCCGGACTGAATAATTCGGGTAACCCCTAACAAAATAACTCAGGTAACCCCTGCCACACGGTGTGGCCTGCTGCACCAAAAAGTTGCTGATAATATAATTATGCATTTGTTTCACTTTGTGCGGGTAAAGTACATGATTAATGGTGCATTATATACATAGATATTTAGAAATCAATCAATCATTAATAATCTATAACTATAACAAAAACAATTACCGCTGACATCATTACTATCCACATGTCAACCTCTAATAAAATATTTTCCTGCCAAAACTAATAGTAACATCATTATTTTTTTCAACATAAATAAAAGTTTGAAAATGGTTTAATTATACACTTCCTAACAGATTTTATATTTAAATTGACTAATTAAACAATTTTCAATGGATCGGGGTTAAAAAAAAAAGGTGGTTGGACTATTTTATTTTCCTATAGACATTATCTTTCATTCTACTTCGTATATTTTATACAGATTATATGAATTGGGGTTGATTTATTAATTTATCAATTTATTATTTTTTACTTAAATAATTTATACTACGTTTCTTCAAATAAAAAAATAAGTATATTACGTATTACACACAAATAAGCCAAAAGATTATTGTTAAAATTGTGCATCGCACGAGTCTAACCTAGTATATGCTAAAAGACACACAAGATACATGTCATCTCTCGGTATGTCCTTAGTTTTTTTTTTTTTTACAAAAAAAGATATTACACTATAATGATAGCTATTTTAGTATACTCCGTATTTTTTAATATACAATAATGACAACTATAAATAAAAAAAAGTATTCCGTAATCAGATTTTACTATTTTAGACGTATTTTGTGATAGGTTGTACTACCAGAAATATATTATAATTGATAGGATGTAACTAAATATTTATCTAATTAATCAATAATACTAAAAGTGTCCTCTTCTGGTAAGTACTAAGTTTTTTATTTTATCTAATCAATCAATAATACCAACAGGCAATTGGTGAATAACCTTATTTCATTGTTAAACTAGATTAGGTCCTGTGCTATACATAATAATTTTCAATACTATTTTTTAAAATTAACATTATATTAAATTTTCCGACTTTCATATGTTATAGTCAACAACAAATATTATTGAAGTATTATTGAAGTATCCATAGTAATTATCGATTATTGATTGATTAAAATTCTAATCATAAATTATATATTTAAGGAAATAACAAAAGTATCATTTGTTGATTTGATATGTAGCTTCCATCACACAATTATAATATATATATATATATATATATATATATATATATATATATATATATATATATATATATATATATATATATATAGGATCATGTGAGAACCCAACCCTTAAGTGAGAACCTTCTTAAAATAAGAACCAATCTTACACCATCAATTTTGAGATTATGGATGGCTGAGATTAATTATCACTTTCCCATGCATTTTCTTGGGAACACGCATTTCAGTCATTGGTACATGTTTTTTAATTTTTTTTTCCTTATTTTCTGCATTGAAACACCGATTTATGTACTATAAAACCAAGAGATTCAGCCATTGAAGAGAGAGAAAATGGAAAATCTGGTTTCATTTTAATTTAACCATTGAAGAGAGAGAAATGAAGGCAGATTTCAAATGAAGATTTCTCTCTCATAAAGAAAGCTTTTGAAGCGATTTTTTTTTTAATTTGATTATTTTTTTGTGTGGAATAAGCATACAAAATTTCATAATTTTTGGAGTTTGTTTGATATTTTTTTGGGTAGAATTTTCGAAGTAGTGCAAAAAAGGAGCAAATCTGGAAAGACAGATTTCAAATGAAGATTTCTCTCTCATTAAAAACCCTTTTGAAGCGATTCTTTTTTTGAATCTGCTTATTTTTTGTGTAGAATAAGCATACAAAATTTCAAAATTTTTGGAATTAGTTTGTTATTTTTTTGATAGAATTTTCGAAGCAGTGCAAAAAAAGAGCAAATCTGTATGTGGTACAATAGTTGAAAATTCTGGAACGACATAATTAAAATTCAAAAACTAGGGGCATATCATGTAATTGGAACACTAGTTCTTATATATGGAACAATATATAATATTTATGTGACAATAATTCATATTTCTAGAACAATATAAATTGTATTGACAATAACGGGCATATCATTCTATTGGAACACTAGTTCCTGTCTATGGAACAATAGACCATATGTATGTACAATAGTACAAATTTCTAAAACAACATAATTAAAATTCGAGAATTATGGACATATCATGTAATTGGAACACTAATTCTTATGTATGGAACAATATATAATATTTATGGGACAACAGTTCATATTTCGGAACAATATACATACTATTCGACAATAATGGGCATATCATCCAATTAGAACACTAGTTCATGTCTATGGAACAATAGACCATATGTGTGGTACAGTAGTTCAAATTTCTGGAACAACATAATTAAAATTCGAGAACTATGGGCATATCATGTAATTGGAACACTAATTCTTATGTATGGAACAATATATAATATGTATGGGACAATAGTTCATATTTTTGGAACAATATTGATACTATTCGACAATAATGGGCATATCATCCAATAACATTAATGCAAATATTTGGAACAATAAATTAGATATATGAACGATGGACATAATATTCTATAACAGTAGGTATAATGGTCTAGAACAATAGTTTTTGAATGTGAAACAATACAGTTTATAGGAAAATTACTGTAATAATTGTGCTTGAACAGTAGACATAATAATATGGAACAGTAGTTCAAGTGTGTGGAACAATATTTCAAATGAATGGAACTATAGTGTAATATTTAGAACAATAATTTAAATATGTGAAACAATAGAAATAGTATTATGTAACAGTAGGCATAATATTTGGAACAATAGTTCAAATGTGGTACAATACAATTTATAGGGAAATCACAGGAATGGTAATATGGAACAATATAAATGATAGATGGAACAGTAGTTCAAGTAGTGGAATAGTAGTTATTATAGAACAATGGGCATACTGTGTGGAACAATTGGTCAAATATGCGGAACAATAGTGCAAATATATGGAACAATACAGTAATAATAACAAGCAGTTGGAATAGTAGACCAATTATTTGGAACTACGCAATTATTATAATGTTATTATTGTTTTTTATTATTGAATTTTGGTACAGTAGGAATATATATCAGAAACAATAAGTATAACAATTAAGAACAATACATGTTTGAGAACCAATAGGAATATATACACAACAATAAATGTCCATAGTTCTCGAATTTTAATTATGTTGTTCCAAAAATTTGAACTACTGTACCACACATATGCTCTATTGTTCCATATATATTAACTAGTGTTCCAATGACATGATATACCCATTATTCTCAAATATTATTTATATTGTTTCAGAAATATAAACTATTATGTTGCTCTATTGTTCTATTGTTCCATTTTTATGAACTAGTGTTCCAATTACATGATAAGCCCATAGTTCTCGAATTTTAATTATGTTGTTCCAGACATTTGAAATACTGTATCACACATATGGTCTATTGTTCCATAGACATGAACTAGTGTTCCAATTGGATGATATGCCCATTATTGTCGAATAGTATTTATATTGTTCCAAAAATATGAACTATTGTCCCATAAATATTATATATTATTCCATATATAAAAATTAGTGTTCCAATTACATTAATGCCCATAGCTCTCGAATTGTAATTATGTCGTTCCAGAAATTTGAACTACTGTACCATATACAGAGTTGCTCTTTTTCTTCAAAAATTCTACCAAAAAAATATCAAAGGAACTCCAAAAATTCTGAAATTTTGTATTCTTATTCTACACAAAAAAATAAGCAAATTCAAAAAAAGAATCGCTTCAAAAGGGTTTTTTATGAGAGAGAAATCTTCATTTGAAATCTGTCTTTCCAGATTTGCTCCTTTTTTGCACTACTTCGAAAATTCTACCCAAAAAATATCAAACGAACTCCAAAAATTATGAAATTTTGTATGCTTATTTTACACAAAAAAAATAATCAAATTTAAAAAAAATCGCTTCAAAAGCTTTCTTTATGAGAGAGAAATCTTCATTTGAAATCTGCCTTCATTTCTCTCTCTTCAATGGCTAAATTAAAATGAAACCAGATTTTCCATTTTCTCTCTCTTCAATGGCTGAATCTCTTGGTTTTATAGTACACAAATCGGTGTTTCAATGCAGAAAATAAGGAAAAAAAATTAAAAAGCATGTACCAATGACTGAAATGCGTGTTCCCAAGAAAATGCATGGAAAAGTGATAATTAATCTCAGCCATCCATAATCTCAAAATTGATGGTGTAAGACTGGTTCTTATTTTAAGAGGGTTCTCACCTAAGGGGTGCGTTCTCACATGATCCCACACACACACACACACACACACACACACACACATATATATATATATATATATATGTATATATATATATATATATATTGTTGTAATAAACATAGTATACATAATATGTCTTTCCCAAAAAAAAAAAATACTCATATGGTCACAAATTATGTAAGGAATTTTTTATTTATTTATTTATTTATTTATTTATTTACATAAGTTTATAATTGTCAAATATATTTTTTTTTATTTTTTTTTTTGGAAGGAAACCTCAAATCCTTTTTTTTTTTCCGAAGAAAAAACATCAACTCTTTTATCTTTTATTACTCTCTCTCTCTCTCTCTCTCTATAGTGGTGATTGGGGCTACACTTGGTAGGGAGGATCGCGTGTTCGATCCCCCGCAACAACAGTTGGAAGGGGAGTGAAATCTAACCACCCAAAACTGATCCTCGAATCCGGATTAGCCCAAAGGATGAATCGGGTGGAACACAAAAAAAAAATGATTATTTCTAGTAGGAAAATTTCTAATAAGAACTTTTGGAAATTTTCCAAATAAAGAGGAATACAATAATGGGATATAAAATTGGTGAAATGAGAAGGATGAACTCTTTATTATTCATCCTTCTCATTTCACCAATTGCTACTCTTGAGGAGAAATTTAACAATATTATTTTTCATCCAAATTTAGACATCATACTTTAAACTTAAATAACTTTCTTTTATTTTTTTATTTCAAAGGCATTAAACTTAGATAACTTACTTTTTTATTATTTTTGACATAGATAACTTACTATTTTTATTATTAGATAGAACTATTTTTGAACTTTTGATGAAGCAATTCACGAATCATGTAGAAGTTATAAAAATACTTTTCAAACAAGCCTATATGAGGGGTGAAAAGTGCCACAACCACTATATACCTACCATCCGCGTCTGAACTTAGTGTAATGTATGTTTGACCATCATATTTGAGCCCATTTATGCCGATAAATTTGGGCCCACCCCATTCATAACAAGGTAATCTAGTCCAAGAAGTTATTGTGAGGTTTGGACAAACAGAACTATGTGGCCCACGAATAATAGTCGTTAGATCTGGGTGTGATTCCACACAATCAATAGCTGATATTAGATACTCGATATCATTCAGTTTGCTGATTGCCTCATGAATCTTACTCGCACCATACCACAATGGTTTGCATGTAACATCTCCTTTCTTTTCTACACAAGTTGCATAAAAAAGGATGTTTCCGCAGTATTCCTGTGGTATTTTCATGCAAACCATACATGCACTGCGCCACACATGCACTGCGCCACACGTGTGCAGCTTGCACCTCAAATGTACTTAGCTTGTAATCTGTTACTTCTTGAGATGTTGCTTGTAGTTTTATGGTGTCCATTTGGTCTTTAGTGAGCTTGAACGTACACTCAGTTGTCGTCACCATCTCACCTAAAAGAAAAAAAATTTAATTTAGAAATTGAAACAAAAAGAGCATAATGTATACTCAATATCATTATATTAAATAAATATAAAAAAGTTGACTGATTTCCTTTTAAGTATGATTTAATTTTGTGACAAAATGTCTATATTCTTTATTTTTAATAAGAATTTCAATTTTCTAAGAGGACATGTAACTAATGTTTTTTTCACTTTTGTTCTGTTCTCTCACTTATTTTCATGGGACACTTTGATTCATAATTCAATTTCTATTTAATTTTATTTTGTTTATATAAAAGAGATCTCTTATTCACTTCACTCCAAAAATAGATTACCCACAAGGCACTATATGAAGTAAAATAATCTCCCTACTTAATATTACACGATAAAATAAGAAGTTAATTAATGTGATTAAAACTATATGTTAGTCAAATTATGTGAATTAAATAGGGACGAAAGAAGTAATAAAGTATGTCAATTGATATTAAGTTACTAAGCTAATTAATTGTATATCAATGAGAAAGTCATGCATGCATTTATGTATGATAATATACTCACTTGATAACCCCTTGAATGGTAATAAGGATGGGAGGGACGGCTCATACTCAAAGTGACGAAACTTAACTAGCGGAGGGTCACGAGGAGCAAGGTAATTAGCTCTATCATGAACAGGATAAACATCGAGTTCGAGCCCTTTGGCTAGCCTTGCCCATGAGTTGTTAAAGTGCAACCACGAAGCTCCATCCGCTACATGGTGATGTTGCGCAAATCCAAGGCATACACTCCCGCAACTAAAGCGAGTGACTTGCACTAGTAGAAGAGGAAACGACGAGAGCCCATCAAATAGTCGCATATTGGAAACACCACCTTCCTAAGTTCGGAATTAGGACTCAAGTAATCCCCAAAATCAGCAAGAGCATGTGTTGATTCTGCCTCGATAAACAAGGCTCCCTTTGCATTGCAATCAATCTCATAACGACCATTAGTGTCGTTAAAATCTAACCTTCCCGCCATCGGATAAAATGGCACTAAGGCTCTGCCTAGAGCCTCCTTCAAAATATTGGTGTCAAAATTTTTTGTAGTAGTACGTAGATATATTATTAGGAGAAAAGAGGTAGAGAACATTAGTATGTGAGTAATGAGTACGTATCATCATGTCTAGCTTTCAGAGCGAAAGACTACCTTTTGGAGTCTCATTAGTTGGGCATACCATGCTTGATTTCTTCACTTTGATTATGCTCATTATTATTCTATAGTTTTGATGAATAACTCTTAATTTCAAAGGAGGTATGTATTGAAATGACCACAGGGGGTATTTTATAGCCTTTTAAATAAATAAATAAATAATTATTTAAAAAAAACACACATCCTTCTATTATGGACTAGAGGTGTTTATAATCCTTTGGGATTTGGATTTTTGAAAGTCTACCATTTGACTGATATCTAACAAGATGCATCTTCCTATTTAAGGAGCTTATATGTTAAGATACTCTACAGTTATGCATGCTTAGCTGGGAGTAATATTAGAATAGGTCTTTGACTATTATCTGAAATCTTATTGAATTTAATTTAAACTATACTGGTACACAATTTTGAAATAGGATTGATAACTCATATTTGAACTTGTTAGCCTTTATCTGAGCAAATTTCTAAATCTTCATTATATACTCCCTCCGTGTTTAAATAAATGAAACGTTTTTTTTTACTTTCACGGAGTTTTAGGAAGGTTAGTTGAATTTATTAAAATAATAGGTAGTGGGGTAAGTTTGAGGAGAGAGAAGAGAGTAAAAGGTTTTGTGGGGACCATTAGTTAGTAGAATATTATTAAAAAAATAGAGAGAAGTTACTAAAAAAAGGAAAACGTTTCATTTATTTAAACACGGAGGGAGTATATATTACTCTGTGTAATAATTAGTAATTCACAAATTCTTAATTGTGGCTAGCCACAGGGTGTGACCTACCATTTCACATATAAGCAATTAATTAAGCAATGGGGGTTACATCGATGATCAAATGAGGTTACCTTGACAGATAATAGGTTATCGTAATGAGAAACAAGTGGAGTAGCTGTTTTAATAATCAAAATAAAGAAGAGGGGTTGTTACTCGAATGAAAAAATGGACTTACTTATTTTTTTAAAATTAATTGATGTTAATCGTATAATAAATTAGGGTTAGTCTATGAATAAAATAAGGTTACCCATAGAACTCCCCCAGCCCAATCCTCATTCGACAGCTCCGTCTTGAATAATTGAGGTCATTTATATTAACGAATAATAATTATTTTTATAAACAACAATGATCACGCCACGTAGTTGGCCACACACAAGACATACGGTTAATAATAATACGTAGTAATAATAATAATAATTTCCTCTCAAAAGATTTTAAGGCATTTTTGTTTCAGGCTAATATTTTAAGATGAAAAAACAGACATTCGTCAATAAGTCAAGCCCGTATTTTGGGCATGGATGAGATGGGTTGTCACCCAAGGCCCCCCCGTATTTTGGGCATGGATGAGATGGGCATGATTATTACTCCAATACTCCGTATTTGTTATGTAGCAACCAGCAAGAGACAAGATAAAACTCTTAGTTAGGCCATCAAAATAAAAGGGGTATTTGGTAATACTAATATATCACCATTTGACCTGTTTTGAAGCACAAAAACCATCATGATTTGTGTGACAGCTGCTGCATCAAGTCCATTTCAGAATGATCTAACACACCAAAATCTAAAAAATGTTGTAACTTAACAAAAGATTTATCCTTGCATATAGATTTATCAAAAATGTTGTCTACCCAAGGAAAAATAGACCCCCTAACATATAAACAGATATGATCAAACATTTATCCTCGCACAAGGTAATCTCTTCATTGATTACACGCGCTATCTGCCTGCTTTTAACATATGCAATATGCTCAGTAAGAAATTTGATACAATGATTTGATGGGGAGTGCCAGGCCCGTGCAGCAGTGCAACGCATGGGCGACACTTGAGATTCCCAGCAGCAAGCTACTGTGATGGATTCTCCCCCTCAAAAAATAAATTTAATATCGTTGTGAGTCATTGACCCACGTATCAGATATTAAACTGATAAGAACAGATACTACACTTGATCTTAGCCAAAAGGCCGAGAAAGGTATGATTTGTTTAGTCTCACATCCTGCATTTTATATCCTAAAGTTGCCATATCCTCTTCGTTTGTTTCGATGTGGAACTTCACTTCTATTTTAAGGAGCATTGTCCATAGCAGCACTGCAGCACCCTTCAGGGTCTCAGAACTCGGTAAAATCATTCTGATGTCTGAGTATACTTCGTATAAATTAATGTATCAGGGAGGAACAGTAAAATATAGAGCTAGAAGTTATGTAATCTAGTAGTTTATTATACATTAAGTGTCTGGAAGAAAGGCTATGTACATCTGAAAACTTCCAACCATACCAATTACGAGTGCTATTTAATATTCAGTTTATCAGCTATCAGCTGTGACGAAAAGATTTGGATTTAGAAAATTGACCTGACACATTTCTATATCCATGAAATTATGGTATATAGTGGAGTAATCTTAGACATAAGCTAAGGGCTTTTTCATTAGAATTCTGAATTAATCTCTACCATAGTATAGTGTGGAAAAAAAAAAAAAAAAAAATTGGTCACAGACTCACAGTTGATAAATTTTGACCAGATTAGGAGTTCTACTAGTGATGTGATCACTGATCTAATCTCAAATAGATATGATTATGCAGCACTTTCCGGGTTTACCGAGGCTTGTAATTTTATCTCTGTACTCTTAACAGCAAATCAGATTAGTATACTCTAAAAGAGTATAAGCATAGAAAGATTTCATGTGTGTCTTCAATACCAGAACAGAGCAGTCAGGGGCAAAGAGGAAAAAAAAATTTGGACCATTTCTCGATTTGTGCGTGTCATCCTTGCGCAGGGGCCATGCTAATCTTCTCTGTATCGTTCCAATTTTATCAGATGTCTCCGAAGAGACAACCATTGATAGACGCCAGAATATATAAAGATAGTAGTACTGTCGAAATCTTTCAATGTGGGACAAAAAGAGAGTGTATATCTAACAGAACACGAAGTATATTTTAGTATTTTACCACAATGCCCAAAGAATTCCACCTTCTGAGGGTACCAAATTGAAGCCAAATCTCATCAGATCTTTACCCAATCTTATGAAAACACTAACATTAATTTCACGATTTTCCCGTCAAAAGTTAAATTCACGATTTTCCTGTGATAATTCTCTGATATGTCACAAATTAGCAATACAACTACTACCTACCTCTACTCCTCTAGGCCTCCCAAGAGTCCCAACCCTTATATTTTGCATACTTGTTTTAATCAATTGTCTCAAATTAATTGCACACTTGAAGTTATCACTTACATTTTCTCTCTTTAATTTAGAAACCTCACTTTTCTTGTTTCTTTCTTAGACCATATCCCTTAAATTTCAGCTCTTTTACTCCCCTTGACATATACATACATGGTCGAAACCAAATAACTCGTCTACCACCTCTACATACATTATCTTCAAGACTTCTGATCCCTCATTCCATTATTTAACAAAAATAGACACCGATGCAAAAGATAGATCAGGACTAATAACGACAGAAAGCAAAACAAGAGTCAAATTAAACGTAGAGTTCGAATACTCAGTTACTCATGCAACCGGGGTTGGAAAGTAAAGGGAATCAAAGATTAGTGTTAGTGACAAAACACAACTTTTTGTGCTACAAAAACAAGATATAAGCAATTGGAAAAATATGAAAGATTCACAGAAATATTTGAATAAAAAGAAAATTTTGTTTAGAAATGAATAGAAGAGAGCCTCAAACACAAAACATTAGCAGTATGGGTAGTTGACTACTGTAGTTGTTTCAGATGAAATAAAAGCATTGTCAGGCCCATATCTGGGCTAATGGGCTATCGTGAAAGACCCAAAACATGAGCCCAAGGTATGCTTTCAATATTTCAAGTTCACATTGTTTTTATTTCCTTTCCTTTACAACATTAAACTTCACATCATATCATAAATGTTGTCAGTATTCCTTTTTTTTTAGTGCGTCTTCCTTAATTTCTTTCATACTATACCTTATTCATAAATCATACGAGTAATCATGTTGTCAAAAAAAAAACAAAAAAAAAAAAAACAATTTTTGTTTATTTGATTTACTATTATCTTAAACTCTATTTCGTACTTCCTAGTTCCTACCTTTACGCTTTATATACTTGTGAGCTTTAGAGCAGGTTTATCTTCTAAGGTATAGATTATCTAAGTTTCCATGATAATGCAATTTTTTCTTGTTGTGAACTATACAAAATTTTTAAACCTCCAAATTTCAGGGTAAGATACCATAGGAGGAGATGTAATGAATAATTTTGAAACATCTTTATATTTGGTATATTATTATATACTTCGTAGTTCGTATAGTAACAAAATCATACAAGTACTATGCTAATATATAAATGGATAAAAAAAAAAGAATAAAAATTAGCCCATACATTTGCTAGGAAATGGAAAAGGTGTTTATAAAAGAAAAAAAAGAAAACCTTGCTATAACTGAATAAGGCTTGTTGCTATAAGGCAAATGAATTATGAAAAGAATAGCATGTGGACAAAAGACAATTGCAAAAATCTTCTAATTAGCAATTCACTTCATATGATTTACTGCTGAACAATTAGAAGGCAAATGTTGCATAAAATTTAGTGGGGCAAGCAAAGAAGAATCAATTTCTTGCAGTCACAAAGCATAATAGATGGTATAACATTGTATTGCTTAATCATCAACAAATTTATCATATGAAAGGGATAATACACGTCCAAGTGACAAAAGTAAAGGACTAGTAGACCAGTCCAACTATAACTCCAACATAGAAAACTGTAAGAAACTAGTCAATATATTAGCAGGCTGAATTCTACAACTAATTTGATTACAAACGGTCGGATACTGAGTATGTGGTAATAGCTCACATCACAAGAACTTGCCATGAAAACTAACCGATGCAGCAAAATCCTCGCAACTGTAGTCTTGAACATCCCGTGTAAGGCGGCTAGACTCTGGTGATCTGGTCATTCTTTTTCTTATTCAAACCCTTTCTAAGTGCCACTTCCATATTGTTTATATACATTAAACAGAGGAAGACAACAAAAAGCCTTGACCACCATCATCTAACAACCACAAATATCTCTATGATTTCTCTTTTGCAACATCTGATGTCAACTAGTTTGACAAAAGAAGTAGAGGACAAGAAATCCTCCAATTGAATTCAATGAAAATTGCTCTCAGCTCATTTCATTGATGATGCACGCCATCTCTTCATAACATCGAGCATGATCTCGTTCCATGTATCAATTGGTCCTGGCAAGCACCAGTGCACACAATCATTCTGAACACGTTCCTTAATCCCATCGGCAAAAGGGTTAGGATGCATGTAAGGGCCGGGGTGACCATCGGGCCTTAACATAGCCAACTTGGTGACATCTAATGCCGCTACCCTAACCTTAGGCATAGCATTATTATCAGCATTTAGTATTGTCTTAGCCTTTTCCACTTCTTCAACCTCTGCTTGCCTCATACGGGAATCCATCCAATCAAGAGATTTCTCCTCTTCCATGTATGGCTTTGTCTTAGAGCAAGCTCCAAACTGATCCCATTCCCCTTCAAAATGATGTGGAGAAAATGTAGTCACAATAACATCAATACCATTCCCTTCCGACTTTGATTTCCTTTCAATAATCGCCTTTAGGCTGGTGTTAAAAGCCTTGCCAAACACATCATAGAACTCGACATCAGTACAATTCATACTATCAAGAGCATGGCACCCGAGCTCAACTTCCCCATCGCGATATATAGCAGGATGCAAATACCAATGACCAATCGACAGAACCACCATATCAATCGAATCCAGCTCAGAACCCCACCTCTCATCAACCGAATCAAAGAACAATTGATTGTAATTTATAGTCCCATCACTTGATTTCTCAATCCCATTAACAAGAAAAGGTGACCAATACACAGAAACATTAACATTATGAGAAGGGAAATGCCATCTCCTGAACTTATTATCATCCCCATTCGAGTAAATCAGATTCGGGGGCGAAACCGAGCTTAACATACACAACAAAGACTCTAACTGATTCCTTGCCATGGAATCCCCAACAAAAGCCAAATGTTTTCCTTCAAGAATTTGCAAAAACAATTGAGGGTCAAACCTATCAAGATTGCATTCTTTTGGCTGCCATTTCCAATAAAGATAATCCATATCAGGTCTTCCATGATTCATGCAATTTTGCCCATCTTTAATTGTTCCACAACTTGAGCCATTATACAAAGGTCCTTTCTTTTCTTGGACCCATTTTCCATTTGTATAATCACAAACTGATGCAATTTCTTTACTTTCTTCTTCTGCTAAAATTAAAAAGGAGATTTTTTATGAATATAATTAATTAATATACCAGAAAATCAAATCAGGTAATGTCTACAATAAAGATCATGAGAAAAAGAAATCTAACCTTTTGGGGGTGGTGTAGATGAAATTAGAATCTCATTCACATTTTCCTTTTCTGTTCAATAAAATATAAATACATATTCTATCATTTCTCAAGTCAATTTTGGGTCTAAATATAAACAAATCCAGAAATTAAATTTGGCAAGTTTATTAACATAAATAAACTAAGAAAATCAGACCTTTTTCTGCTCAATATACAAAACCCAGAACTTTAAAAGTTGTAATCAAGCATTAAATATCCAAAAACAAGCTAAAAAAACTCACCTTTAGGAGGTTCTGACACTGAATCCAAAACCCCATTTCCAGTTTTTTCCGCTGTAAAAAAAACATAACACATAATAATCAGCAATTACACAAAACCCAGAAACTTAAATAAGCTAAGAAAATACAAAAATCAAATTAAATTAAAAAAAAAATTACCTTTAGAAATGGGATTAAGATTAGAAAATTGATCTTTAATAACAGAAGAAGAATCTAGAAGAGGAGGAGGAGAAGGGTAAAGGTAAAAATGGAGGAGAGCTAATGGAAGTATTGCATAAAGTACATAAGGTAACAATTTCCTGGTTAAAGATTGTTGATGAGATTGTTGCGTTTTCCAAAGATTTCCCATTTTTTTTGGTTTCTTGATTTTCTTTCTTCTCTGTTTTACTTTCTCTCTCTAACTTTTTTTGCAGCACAAAAAAGCTCCAACATAATATGAAAAATGGTGATTTACTGGAAATAAAAACGAAGTTGTGGAGTATTATTTATATCTAATTGTAATTATTTATATTTTTAGCTTTGATTTGTTTATTTGAATTGGCATTTTGAAGGAGACAATTTGACAGGGAGAAAGTGGAGGGCAAATAAGGAAAATATTGAGATTAAAGAGTATAAAGAGAGAGTGAAAAAGAGATCTGATTAAGTCAAAATTTAAAAAACACCAAGAATTTAGGTGGGTTAGGCCAACTAATCTATTTCTCTCATGTGTAAATTTAGGTCTTTCAAGGAGAGAATTTTATTGTGAGTTAAAGGAAATAAAGAGAACTGAAAAAAAAATAAAAAATTACTCGTATTAAGTTGTCACGTGATATTTTTATACATCTCAAACCCTATATTTTTCAAGTGTAAAAGCAACTCTAATGGTTATAGTTAGCAATGTGCTTGCTATTTTCAAAAATCCTTAGTTATATTAACTTGGCCATTGGAGCCATAGAATAAAATTAACCTGGCCAAACAAATGCAAGCTAATTTGTTTTAGAAAAAGTTTTATAATATGGGAGATTGATATATTAATAAAATTAAAACTAATAATGTGTCAAAAAATAAAAATTAAAACTAATATAATAAGTTAATTGAGGAAGTGGGAGTGTGGGACACATTAATATCAAGCTAATATCTAATCGTTAGGGACAAACTAGCTATAAATGGGGTTAATTTGGAATCATATGTGAAGTCATTATAAAAATCTTTAGATAGCAAAACTATTCGAAGATCTAACTGGACAAGTAAGGAAATCCGATAGGATATAAATTCATATTAGATATCCAATCCAAAATTTTCAGATTTCGAATACCTATTTGGATATCCAATATTCATATCCAAACTAAGTTAGATTTTAGATAACGGATATCCAATCCAAAAATCCAAAAAATTGGATGTTATTTACTAAAACCTGTAATGGTGGTGCCTAACTAAAAACCGCTAATCAAAAAATAATAAATATACAATTCGTCCAAATTTTTTTATTTTATTTTTTTTAGTGAAAAGATAATTGTATATTTATTATTTTTCGGTTACTAAAATTCATAAACAATACTCCCTCTATCGCTATTTTTTTTGCCGCATTTGACTTTTCACGGTCTCCAATGCACATCTTAGAACGCATTTAACTTCATTTTTATATGCGTAATCATTAAAGATTTTTGATATTAATTAAAACAAAACAGTGAGACGAATCAAGTAATATCCCACTTGACTATATTATCTCTTATAAATTATTGAGAATTTACAGTCAAAAATTTTAAAGTTTAACTCAATTATTTGGTATAGGGCAAAAAAAATAGAAATAGAGAGTGTAAAAATTAAACTCTAACTTTAAAGTTATAAGGTGAAATTCCTACTATATACATCGAAAACTATCTGGTTTAGCCACTATTGACATGGTGTCAAATATTGACTTCGGAATTTCAAGTGTATGTATGACATTGTTTCGTTGTATGGTATGCTTGATGCTAAACTGCTAACTATGATTGTAAGGAAAAACAACAACAAAAGGCAGGTTCATTAGTATGAGTAATTGAGTACTCGATCGTAAAGATGTTAATAATAATCATTATTGAAGTTTAATGATATTTTTTAGCAGTTGACGACAGTATGTATTTTGTACGAAAAGTCGAAAATGTTATATTGAGGCAAGACAGCCAACAACGTGCTACATAGCCGTGTTGTTAGCTGGATTGTCAGTTGTCACTTGTCTGTTTTTTTTTTTTTTTTTTTTTTTGTAAAATAATTTTTTTTAAATATTCAATTCCGCCGTCGGTTTTTTTTTTGGAAGATACTAATGACTACTCCCTCTGTCCCTTATTTTTTGCCTCAATTGACTTTTTACGGTTTTCAAGACGCGTGTTCAAACGTATATATCTTAATTTCTATACGCATAAAAATTATAAAAGTTTGATATTAATAAAATATACAATGAGATGATTCTAACAAGACCCCACATGAATATATTATCACTTATAGATTATCGGGAATTTATGGTCAAAGTTTTATAAGTTTGACCCATAAAATTGCAATGGAGCAAAAAATAAGGGACGGAGGGAGTAATGTGTTAGATTGATTTTAGTCCATACTCCCACATAATTTTTTATTTTTTATTTATTTTTTTTATACTCCTTTCGAGTTTTAATAAGTTTTACATTTTGATTGTCACATAATTTTCACAATTTTTTGTATGCGATCTGTTATACCGTGCAACAGGGATTACTTGAGTTACTTGGTCAAGGGTTACTCGAGTTGCCGAGGTTACTCGAATTTTTCGATCAGAGGTTGTCGGGGTTACTCAAGTTACTCGGTCAAGGGTTATTTGAGTTACTCCTGACTAAGTAGCCCCTCGAGTAATCCATAACCGAACCCCTCGAGTAACCCCTGACTGAGTAACCCCTCAAGTAACCCCAGACCGAGTAAGCCCTCAATTAACCCCTGACCGAGTAACCCCTAACCGAACTCCTTAAGTAACCCCTGACCGAATTACTCGAGTAACCCCTGACCGAATTACTCGAGTAACCCCTGACCGAACTCCTTAAATAACTCCTAACCGAGTAATTCGAGTAATCCCTGACTGAATAACTCAGGTAACCCCTGTCACACGGTGTGGTCTGCTGCACCAAAAAGTTGCTGCATAATTTTAGGCAATTTAATTGACTTGAATAAAATAAGAGGTACGTAGGGTAGTTGGAGTATTAAAAAATTGTATAAGAAATATAATGAAGTTAATAGTTTAATTTATTGAAAAATAATAAATGAGAGAGGAAAGAAATAATTAAAAAAAAGATAGTAGTGGGTTTTGGTGGAACCATGAAAGGAAAAAGATATAATATTAAAATGTAGTTTTTTTGTAAAAAAAAAAAGTGTATCACTTTTTAAAACACAGAAGGAGTATATAGTATTTTGAATGATATTATCTTTATACATTTTGCTACAAATATTATAATATTTTTTTAATTGATAAGGAACAACTCTACTATATCAAAATCTCTTACATGCTAGTCAATCCAAGTACGTAGGTTAATGCTTGAAAGTAGGATATAAAGGAAGGTAAAAGAAATCTCTACTCCAAAGCAAATGTAGATGATAGGGCTTGAACTTGTGACCTTAAGGTGAGCTTCCCGCCACCTCATGAATATTATAATGTTATTTGGAAAAATACAATATCAATCATAAACCTAAACTAAAGGCAAATCTCATATGACACGAATTTCATTCCTAGCACGCAAAGAAATTCCAGTCATGTAAACTAATTTTGAGAGATACTTAAAACGAAAATCATTCAATTTCAAATCTTACTACGAGTAAAGCCCCGTTCATTTCACCTTCTTTTTGCTGAACTGAAATTATTTTAAATGTCTGAATTTAAATTATTTTTTTTGAACTAAAATTAATTTTACAGAACTGAAATTATTTTTGTTGAACTGAAGTTATTTTTACTGATTTTCTATTATATTTCTTCTTTATAATTACTGAATTTTACTGAACTTATTTTTATTAAATTGAAATTATTTTTACTTAATATTTCTTTTTTTAAAGTGGAGTGAAGATTTTCTAATCACTAAAAAGCAATATCAAATAAGCATCAATTTGAAAGTGAAGAGTAAAAAGAACTAGTCAGAAGTGTAGATCTATAAATCATCACCGCAAAACATGCCAATTATTTTTCCTCCAAATTATGGCGTGATATGATTGTGGAGTAAACTAACTCACCAAATCTCATTGGAGTAAAGACAAGTAGACAACACAAAAACACATGATATTGCTGAAAACAAAATAAAGTCCAAATATAAATTAAGTTTTTTTTTTTAATTTTATTTAACTACATTTAATTTCTACACCTTATTAAAAATTGAGATTTGGTCATCACTATTAATTAATTTTCTATAAACACAAGCACGTGATATGAAGTTACGAACCAACATAGAATTTACGTAACATGGATAGTTAGTTGTGTACAATTCATAGTTTACAATTTATTGATATTTTAATTCATTAACTATAACTAGTAATTACCGCTGACATCATTGTTATCCACTTATCAATCTCTCATAAAAAAAATTTCCCGCTAAAACTAATAACGACATCATTTTTTTTTTCAACATAAATAATAGTTTGAAAATGGTAAATTAATTATACATTTCTCTAACATATTTTATATTTAAATTGACTAATTACACTATTCCAATGAAGTTAAAAAAAATAGGTACTTGGACTATTTCATTTTCCAATAAACATTATCTTTCCTATAATCCTATATATTTTCTACAGATTATATAAAATGGGGTTTCCACTCTTTATTAACTTATCAATTTATAAGATTTTGCTTAAATTATCTATACTATATATTACACACAAATAAGCCAAAAAATTATTATTAAAATCATGCATCGCACGAGCCTAACCTAGTACTCATATATAATGGTGGCAAAAAATTAATCATAAAGGTGTTGATTTTTCTCCCATCCAATTGTTGATTGCCAATTGCAACTTTCCTGTCCAAGTACATAAGTGGGAAATATGGGAGTGAGGGATTAAGATCGAATCCACCGACAAAAAGAAAAAATTAAAAATTAAAAATTAAAATATTGTGAATTTACTACCTTCGTTAATATTATTTATAACGATTTATATATTCTCCTCATGCTTTATGTCAAATCATTACGACTAATATAAAATGGAGGTAGTTAGTTGTTATGGTGAGGAATTCAAGTGATAACAGTTAACAACCAATGAACATGAACCAATGTCTCTTGTCATCTGATCTACATCTATATTGTGCCAATTTGTACTCTTTCTTGAGTCTTGACATGATCTAAAAAGTTTTGTATAGCACACATTATAATCTAGCACAAGTTGAGTCGAACACTTAGGCCTACGACGGCTATAGGCCCACAACGATTGTGGCTCAATTTATCACGAATTGGTAGTAGCCCATGAATGATTCACAACCCATCCTCAATCTCTGTTTTATTTTATTTGGTGACTTTTGCACAATTCATATCTTCTTCTTCTAATTGTATTTTATGATTTACTACCTGCGTTTCTAAATAATAAACACGTATGTCTTTTTTTCATTATTTATGTACTAACTTTGACAATTGTTTTTAAATAACATTTTTTTTAAAAAAAATCTCATCAAATATATTGGGATAATTTGCCAATTGCAGCCATTTAAAGTTTGTATTTTACAAATTGCAG